AAAAAAAAAAAAAAAAAAGAATAAATAATAGAGTATTTAATGACATGGAAAAATGTTCACAGAAAAAGCAAAAATTTTGGACATAAGTATTCAAAGATGAGATATATCCTGCTCTGGAAATTAGCCTTTTGGACATCTTCAACTACCCAGGCACAGAAGTCAATCTTTTTGTTACTCTTATTAATCATAACATCAGATTTACCTGATGCTTTATCTTAGCAAAATTTCAGACACAATTTCAAATGTATATATTTAATGTAATGTGTTTGATAGTTCTAAATAATGCCTAACATACTAACTTTCTTATAAAATCTTTTAACTACATTTGATATTCCAGATCTTTTCAAGTATACTTAATATTCAAGATTAGCACTGTTGAGGGGAACTTCCTGCACTGATGGAAATGTTTTATACTTTGCCCCGTCCCTTACAGAACTCCTGTCCACATGTGGCTATTCAGCCATTGGAATACGGCTAGTGTAACTGAGGAACTAGATTTCTATTTTTATTTAGTTTTAATTTAAAATCCCACATATAGCTAGTGGCTATTATATAGTGAAGATTATTGTCATAATTTATAAATTTCATTAATGAAGTATAATTAGGAGACATTGAAAATAGCAATACTCAGATTCGATATCCAGGGTCTGTTTTCTGAGGATTAGCAGTACAGTTGTACCTTTTTTATTCAGGCATAATTGTGATTCTGAAATGGTTTTTCTTAGAAGTCAAAAATGTGAATCTGTTCTGTAGTACACAGATAAATACATAAATGATACAGTTGAACATTCTAGGCACAGAAAGTCCTTTACTACTTTAAACATTTTAAAACTTTTTGCTTATTATTTCGCTAGTTATTTTTGCCCATGATTTATATGTAACTACTGTGATAAACCTTGCCTTATCAAAAGCCCTGCCTTAAACGTTAAGTAAGGTATTCATGTAACAAAAACACTTGTAACCCTGTTAGTATTTTGAAAAAGAAAAATTTCCAGAAAGTATAATATTTGTATCAGGAGGGGAAGCTGTCAGTCTGTGTGCTTAGTAAGTGCTGGTCACCGCGCTGGGCAGTGTCTCATGGAGGGATCTCACTTAATTCTCCACATTATCTCAGAGGGCGGGCTTACTTCTGTGTCGCAGCTGTAGGTGTCTCCCTTACACTCCCTTTCCTGATTTCTGCCTTTTTGTTTTCTTCTTTGTTTAGCAGATTGCCTTTTGGTCTCTCTGACCCTCCTTTTTGATAAATTGTTTCTGGCATACCAAATTTTATCCAGCAACGTACTTTTGTGGCCACTATTACATTTTGATGGGCCATCTTTCTGTCAGGTGGCTTTTATCATCTTTAGGAAGAGTCTTAAGGGGCACATGTGGAGCTTTTCGGGTCATTATCTAAGAGCATTTGCTATCAGAAACATTAGTTAAAAAAAGTT